GAAAGCCACATATTTTCACCAACAAGGGCTACATGAGAAGCCCCCTGGCCAGTTCTAAAAATAGCTCTCCAGTGTTGGGCCAATTGTGATTTCTCAGAAATGGTGTAGTTGCAATCCTTTGAAAATGTGAACAGATATTTAGAGACATAAAATATTGCATATTGATATGTATCTGTTTTGCTAATATTCTGACAAATCATGAACATGATCAGTGTCTTCACACAATTGAATACCAATAACTGCTAATTACAGCCTCTACAACCAGACAGATAAGGATATTTTTAACCTGATGCTGATTCTGACATTTGGCAGGGTAACACTCTGATAACTGATTTATCGGCCAATTAATCATTAAAAAAAAAAAAAAAATGGAGCAAATAAAATAACTTTTTTTTTTGAGCTCTTAACCCCTACAATAAAGAGATGACGTATGAGCAGAACATGTCACTGTTTTACAATACTTCGTCCTTAACCCTTTAATGCACCCTGTAACCCGATAACATGATAAACTGTCCACAGTAGTAACTGCTGTCCATGAAACTGTTAAGTCTTCGTTTAAATTTAGAGTGCAAAATTGGCCCAAATTGGCCGATTTCATGCCTGTTTTGGTGGGGGTGTTTGAATTAAATTATTTTTGTCTTATGTCATAGTGTGTTAATATGTACAAAAAAAAAATCTGATTTCTTTTTCTGATTTTTGACAAGTTTAAATGAGCTAATATTGGCCAATTAAATAGAGTAGGTTAGAACCTAATAATACCACTATTAAAGGTAATTTGAACACATTTCAGAAGTGCGTCTGAAACTGTTGTATTAATAACTTCCTAAAGAGTAGAGTAGCTCTCAGCTTCAAAGATTGGCAACCTCTAAATTATATATAATTATAGACGTGTGTGTGTGTGTGTGTGTGTGTGTCTGTGTGTGTGTGTGTGTGTGTGTGTGTGTGTGTGTGTGTGTGTGTGTGTGTGTGTGTGTGTGTGTACGCGCGCAAGCGTGCAGGTTTTATTCTGGTTGTGATAATAGAGGTACATGGGTGTTAACAGATGTGCAGTTCAGTGAGCTCCACTTTTTCCTCACATCAGCATTTGTGCCATGCTTGCATTAAACCCTCAAACACACATTTGCTTTATACAATTGGAAACACCTTTGGGTCTTTCCAAATTTGTCTCCTTAGAGTGGCTGTGGCCTCAGAATGATGCTAATTTCGATTTCACAAAACATCAGATCCTCATAATAACAGTACCTTTTTAAATGGATTTTGCATAATCGCTGCCATGAATCAGCCCTCTGTTCATCACAGACCTTTTAGCTGTTTTGAATGACTCATTTATCAGTTGTTCTTGGCACATGTTCAGATGACAGAGGTTCTGTGGTGTCAAGGCACCTTGGTAATGATTTTTTGAAGAGGCTCATTCAGTGATGAAACAACATTACTGGCAAAGGGGCAACCCTCCACCAAATTAAACAGTTGGTGTTGTTTTTGTTTTTTGGAATTGCAGGACTCACAAAAGATATATTTCAAATCCAAACTACAAAACTACATTTTTATTTTCCCTTGGAAGTACTATAATGCCCCTGAAGTTGAGTGGACTTTCCCAGACTTCTCTGTCACGCATTTACCCACTTCGGGAAGGATTTTTTGGGATACTCTGCAGCACCGGTGTTAGTGCTATTTTGAGATATTGATGGGGAAACTGAGCAATATTGTAAAATTTGGTCAAGATCTGGTGTTGCAATGTTTGGGTTTTTTTGTTGTATTTAGAATCGCTGATGGCGTAGTGGTACACAGTGGTCTAGTTCCCACTCAGTCACGGTGTGTATGTATGTGTGAATGGTCGTTTGTCTCTACATGTGTCCTGCAACTGACTGGCGACCGGTTCAGGGTGTAGTCCACTTTCCGCTCGAAGTCAGCTGGAATAGGCTCCAGTAACCTCCTGCGAACGTGTTCAGGATAAGCAGTGTTGAAAATGGATGGATGGATGGATGGATGGATGGATGGATGGATGGATGGATGGATGGATGGATGGATGGATCAGCAGGCCCCGGGAGAACATGCAAATTCCACACAGGAAGGCCGGAGTCGGAATTGAACCCTGTACCTCTGCATTGTGAGGCCGGCGTGCTAACAGTCGAGCACTGTGCCGCCTATACTTCTTTTCATCTGCTAAAAAAAGAAAGAAAAAACAAAAAAAAGAATTGCAAGAAAAGCTCAAAAACAATGTGATGTTTGCTTTTGAGAGACAGCAAGATAAATTATGACATATTTCAGCAACTGTCCACCTCACTTAAAATGGTATTTTTCAAAGCAGCAGTTTATCTCCACTGAGTATAAATGTTTCCTGGTCCGAACTTGTGCTTGACGTAAGACGATGAGAATGCAACATTTCCTTGTCAAACAATTAAGAAGGTATAATATGACAAGTGTCAAAAGAGATGGTACATTTAGTTTCACTGGATGTCAAGTAGCAGAAGGTCAGGAAAAAAGTGTTCATTTCATTGGTGGATGAAAACACTGTATGCCATAGAGCATGAATAATTTAACATCATGCCGGGAAGCTGGCCTCGGGATTCTGAATACAGTTTCAAATTTAATTAATGCCCTTTGTCCCCACTTTTTTCAAGAAGGTTTCTGTCCTGAGACTAGTCGAAAATTAAAATGTGGAAGAAAGCTTACACAGTCAAACACATTCAACAGAGAAAACTCTATTTGATGAGGCAAATGCAGCACAAGATTTGTTTGTTTTAGTCTGTTTGAAGCATCTGGTGTCGTCTTCAGTTCTGTAACAGTAACTTGTGTGCTCTGAAACTGCCAGACGCTCACATATATTCATATCTAAGGACATACATATGCAAACACACACGTTTTGTACAAAGGGAAGTTGAAGGGGGAGAAAAGAAAAATCACATTTCTATTTTGCAATGGCTGCTGTAGAAGCTGTGAAAGCAGACTCTGGTGATTATTGCTCTGTCTGACCTTTTGTGCAGGACTGTGTGCACTGCCAGCATGGAAAATGTCAGACTTGATTTGACAAGCAAAGTCTATATGAAGTCGAACTCCTCTGAGACATTTCCAAATTGGTTTAAGTAATTAACTGTGCTGGTCAATAGCCACAATTAAGGAGTAGATTAGATGAAGGTCCAGAGTTATCAAGGGTAACAAATACAACATCGTTAAAATCAAGTCTTCATTTAAAACATGGAGGAAAAGTATTCTTGGTACAAATAGGTAGAACATCTTTCCAAAATTCAATGCATACTTGTGGTTCGGTACCTCCAGATTTGCACATTCGCGGACTTTTTTTTTCTCAATTTTGTTTTCAACATACTTAAACTCCGCCACTTGGGGTAAGATACCATTCCCGACCTGGCCACTACACCAGACATCCTCAACGCGTTGGCAGCTCCTAGAAATTCTGTCCATAAATTTTATGAACAGAATTGGTGATAAAGGGCGACCATGGTGAGTTCAACCCTCACTGGGAACAAATCTGACTTACTGCCGGCATTGCGAACCAAACTCTGACATTGTTGGTATTAGGACCGAACACCCTGTATTGGGAGGGGTTCAGTACCCCATACTCCCAAAACACCCATGACAGTGCTCCGCAAGGGACATGGTCGAATGCCTTCTCCAAGTCCACAGAGCCTGGTTGGGCAAACTCCCATGCCAAGGGTGTAGAGCTTGTCCACTGTTCCACGGGCCCACCACCCTGGTCTGCCAATCTAGAGGCACTCTCCCCGATGACCACGCGATGTTGCCGAAGCATGTCGACATCCCCACAACACCCAGAGACTCAAGGAACTCCGGATGGATCTCATTCACCTTCAGGGCTTTGCCACCGAGGAGCTTTTGAACCAAGTCGGTGACTTCAACCCAGGTATAGGAGAGCCCAAGTCAAAGTCCTCAGACTCTGCTTCCTCTAAGGAAGATGTGTTGGTGGAGTTGAGGAGGTCTTCAAAGTATTCTACGCTACCAGTCTGTCGTGGTGAAGAACGAGCTGAGCCAAAAGGTGAAGCTCTCGATTTACCAATCGATCTACGTTCCGAGCCTCACCTATGATCACGACCTATCGGTCGTGACCCAAAGAACGAGATCCCGGATACAAGCGGCTAATAATCATACTTTGATTTGTGAAATGAAACCTCAATTATACACTTGCAGTGAAACAAAAATGCAAAACAAAAGGACTGTCTGCTTCTAGTTTTCGTCATTTTTATGCCATGTCGAGCATACTTCACAATGTAAAATCCAATGACAAAATAATAGCCAATGCTAATATTTGTAACTGGTTAATGTGATTTTCTATTGAATCTCAGCTCACTGCGTTGGCACATCAGGGCTGGAAGGCGTCACCTTCATTTTCACTTACAATTGTAACCTGTCATCTGAAGCTATGTGAGCAAAGTTTGGTTTCAATATAGTAGCATGTGCTATAGCACGTTGCATCAAATGTTCTGTTCTCTACAGAAATATTTTATTTTCTTTGATTTGATGAAGCCTCGGGTTGCCTACCCCATGTTTTGGCCAATCCTTCAGTTCTATTCGGGTTGAAATCATGCTTTTCAAAGTGGCTGCTAACTGTCTGAGTATTTTTTACCACCTCATTTCCCTGATTGCAATCAAATTTAATGGGCCCTCCTTTGGCCTATGTGACACTTAAACAATTAACTGACCAACCAACAAGTTGCTTAAATGAAAACTACACTTTTTCAAACAGCCTCTCAGCATGTCTGTTTCCTCCTCCTTACTATTTTACCATTCAAATTAAATCAAGCTAACCTCCCACGAGAACAGGCATCCACAGCATCATCAGTCATTCTAACTTCTTTACAGATGTTGACATGGAGGCCCTCCTCCGGGAAACGGAATTTTTTTTGAACTAACTCAAATTGTTTTGAAATACAATAGATGATTCACAGCGGAAAGTTGAAAAATTATGTTGAACGTATGAAGTGAAAATGTTCGCACAACACTGATAGTTTCCCTCCGCTTTCCTCCAGCTCTTCAGACCACCCAGCCACCGAAAGTCCTTTTCCCCCCGCAGGGACAAGACACAGGGATCGAGACCACACCCGGTGAGTACCAAGTCCTTTATATGATATATATTAAACACTGCACACTGTGCACTTTTTCTTCTCTTAAGTTTAAGTAGTCTCCATCAAAGTTCCGTCTGAATTCCATCTATTTTTGTTTTGATTTCTTGAAGATGAGTCATTCTATCAATCTTCTGTATAATACTATTACTGTGTCTTTATATTTATCACATGAACCAATGTTTCTTTAAAAGGGTGACTGTAAAACGGTTTGTAAGGGTTGTCTACCTCACATTGCAGAGGTACAAGGTTCGATTCCGGCTCCGGCCTTCCTGTGTGGAGTTTGCATGTTCTCCCCATGCCCGCGTAGGTTTTCTCCGGGTACTTCGGTTTCCTCCCACATTCCAAAAACATGCATGGCAGGTTAATGGACCACTCTAAATTGTCCCTGTGGGTGAGTGTGATGGTTGTTTGTCAATGTGTGCCTTGCGAGTGGCTGGCAACCAGTCCAGGGTGTACCCCGCCTACTTCCCCAAGACAGCTGGGATAGGCTACAGCACGTCCGTGACCCTCATGAGGATAAGCGGATGGAGTTAAGCAGCAAAATCAATCCACTTGTAGTTACTAAGGGGGCCGCCATTGTTCCACTTTCTCTTCTCACTGAAGCTGAGCCATGATTGGTTGTAGCCTATGCCCAAAGCAACTGTGATGTCACTTTCAGTCGAGTGTTAAAATGGCTTCCCCCTAAGATAAATAAAAACGGGTGTATTTTGCTGCATAACTCATATTTCACATCCGTAATATTAATCAGAATTTGGGGCTGCGTTGAACATATTTGTGAAGCAACATTTTGGGTTGACTTCCTCTTTAAGTCTGTTTCAAATGTGCTTGTGTTAATTGTATAGTGCATGTTGTGCTTCAGTACCGGATGATTGAATGCGCGCTTGTGCTTCACCTACTGTGCAGCGCTCTCTCTGACGATGTTAGCACTGTAGGCAGAAAGGTGTTTGTGTACAAGTATGGGTGTTTATGTTTCCATTAATCCCACATTGATGTAGTAGCAAGCAAATAGGCCCCTAGGCCCCTGTACACAGATTGCAGCTGGGACACCTTTTAATGGAAATCAAGCAGTTTCACCACCTACTCACACAATCAACAGCAGTAAACACATTGTACATGCACACTGGAAACACACAGTCACGCACGCGCAAACACAAACATACACATGCAGTACACGCACGCACGGTTTTTAAAAATCTTGTCTTAAGCTTCGCAACATAATATCAGCAATCACAGTTACCTTGTTCATTTTGCTCATTTCTACCTGTTATTCAAATTTCCACATAGCCGTTCAACCATGTTTTTACTGACTGTGGTTTCCTCTCCATTGAGGTTTTTTCTCAACTTTTCTTACTCTCCTATCTGTCCCATGTCTCGTGTTGCCGCTGTCCATCACTCCACAATACCATTGGGTAATCAACACAATTCCTTTTAGTCATTATCTCACTAATGTGGGTTAGAGGAAGATGAAATACATAATTAAAGATTGATTGGAGATATGAGTAGTACACTGAATTTGCAATGAAAAAAAAAAAGATCCATGAATAATTAAGGTAGCTTGAGGAGTTAGAGGGACGTCTTCCATTACAAAAACACTCTGGTGGGCCCAAGCTGCATTTGTAAAACAATCTATTAGCAGCTTAAGGAGAATGAACATGGTTTTGAATTAATACTTGTCTTGTCATAAGTAGCTCAGAAGACTTGCAGAATTCATCTACAAATTATGGTTATGTGCTTTTCTCCTGGGTTAATGGGATGAACATTTTTCTTTCCGTGTATTTGGCATTTTTAAACTACAGAGCTCTAACAACATAAAACTGGAGAAAAAATGGAAATCAATGTGGGGTTTTTTTCTATACCGATACCTGTCAGTGTTTCACAATGTATCGTGCAATGTTTCTTCACATTGCTCAGTTTATACAATACAAAACAATACATCTTTATCAATATTGAGCTTTCACAACAGCTGCAGCTATAACAAAGCACTTTACATAACAGTTGACATAAAATAACAAAATAATATAACACAACACATAAGATACGGACAGTAATGCAATCATGCACTATTCCTGCTTACGCTTTGTTGTTTAGGGCAGATCTAAATGAAAAAGGGGAGAATCAAAGTGTCCTATCACCAGTGGATCAGAGACGTGATGCTCAAAATGTGCACACGTCTGCTATCAGCTAAGTTTGAAAGTAAAAAAGAAGCTGCAACGTCCATTGACGAAAAAAGAGATTGGTTCACTTCTCCTGTCACATGTAAATCCACTTCAATTCCAAGCAGTATCTTTGAGTTGCAAATACGCATCGGCGCTGTGCACCAACGCTCCTCCATCCTCATCCTTGGCTCCACCAGCCATTCATCCAACTGCACCAACGCAGATTTTCCAACAGTGCCTACATCTCCCCGAAACAAAATGGGGCTCTGAAAAATGCTTCCCATTACGGGCGCAAAAAACACAAGTGCCCCGGGGCTGTTGAGCAGGACAGTCAAATAGCACCGACATTCCCCCAGTTGAAATTAAAATCAGCCCTGCTACACGCGTGCTGCCAAGAAGCTGCACCGTTTCACAACAGCTGCAGCTGTAATAAAGCACTTTAAAGATAACATAAAATAACAATCATACAACAACAAAAGAAAGTTAAAACAAGAAATTATAGCACAAATTACATTTACTAATATATATACCTGTACACTAGACATCAGAAAACAATAGAACGGTGTCAGTCTTCTCTTGGGTTGAAAGCCAAAGAATGAAGATGTGTTTTAAACGTGTTTTAAACAAGTTTTAAAAATGGACAGTGAGGGGGCTTGCCTACATTACCAAGGCTGCGCTTAGTCCTCGGCGCCTCCAATAGTGTGTGTTCCGCAGGAATAGAGGAGTTATGAGAGGTAAACTGGGGTGAGGGTATTTTAAGATTTGAAAACAAATAAAAGTATCATAAAATAAGCTCTAAAATGTACTGGGAGCCAGTGAAGGGTAGCCAGAATTAGGGTTATGTGCTCCCTCTTACGAGCTCCAGTTAAGAGGCAAGCAGCAGCATTTTGGACCAACTGGTGATACTTGAGGAAGGACTGGCTGACTCCAAAATAAAGTGCATTACAGTACTCCAGCCAAGATGTAACAAAGACATGTATTACTGTTTCTAAATGCTGCTGAGAAAAATAGGATTTTATCTTAGCCAGTTGCCTAGGATGAATGTGTTTAACACTGTAAGGCCTCTCTGTGATTTGGGTAAACAGTGTTGACAGTACTTGAACAGGCATAACAAGATTAACATCCCCAAGAGAACATCATGTGCCTACACCTACAGTTCTTGTACTTGATTGAAGAGTGTATCCGTATCAATATACAGGTATAATGCAGGTGAATCAGTGTTGGACAGTAAGATTCGATATGATTGTGATCTCCATATTTTTTTTACCTCTTCAAATATTCATAAGATAGGCCTTCGTAAATTCAAAAAGCCGACCAAAAAGTCCATTGGGTCATTTTGTTGGAGAACTTGCAGGATTAGATTTCTGTACATGGTAAACATTTTCAATGAATATTCATGCCATGTCGACCAAATTCAGAAAATTAGCAATAACAGTTTGTCTAATACACACACTGCATCTGGCAAGTTGGCCAGTTGCTCGTGGGCAAAGTTCTTATTTATTTTCTTTTTTTTGTGTGTGTGTGTGTGTGTGTGTGTGTGTGTGTGTGTGTGTGTGTGTGTGTGTGTGTGTGTGTGTGTGTGTGTGTGTGTGTGTGTGTGTGTGCGTGTGTGTGTGTGTGTGTGTGTGTCAGAAAGGTTGAGAACAGATTATTCTCCCGGCAACACAATAAGCACTTTATTTTCTGGGGTCACTTAAGCCTATTTCTCAAGTAATGTCTGTTGCTACTCCCTCAGGACAAATTCCTCTCTATCCTCTCCCTCTGTCATCGTTCCATGAAGTATATCGAAGAGGAAAATAACACACACATTCACGCACACACAAGTGCAAAAGCTATCAGTGAGAGTTTGACTGTGAAAAACCGGTGAAGATAAGGTGGTATATTTTCTACCCTCTCCCACACCCCCTCCCCCATCTGTCTCGGTTTTACCCCCATAGCATTTATCTCAGTGTGTCTGTCTCCTTCTGTCCCTGTGAGGTGTCTGCTTCTATCTCACTTTATTTCCATCTGTCTGTGTCCCATCTACTGCTGCCACGATCTCAAACAGTTTCACTGTCTTCCTTTCAGCTCAGTCCATCTTCTCATTCACATCCTTTAAAATGGTTGTGCACGTGTCAGTATTTCCTTTCAAATGGTTAGAGAGATAACTAGGAGTGGTGTGCAGCAGGCGATTCCAAGTTGGATTTTTATGGTCCACATTTATGCAATGGCATTGGTTGATATACACTGTCCAATCATTTAACTTTCTGCCATTTATTTGGACATTGCCATCACCTAATGTCTATTAGAGAAACAAAACAGTAACTATGAAACATGAGGATTAAGAAATGACATATCAAATCAATGATAATGAAATTGGAAGGATAGAAGGAAATTACTTGACAATTGCAAAAGAGCCACGATAGTCCAGTGTGTGTTCAATTCCCATTCAGTGACAGCATGAATATGACTGTTGTTCTTTTGTGGCTTTTATGCATGCCCTGTGATTGACTGTCATCTACTTTTCATTCAAATTTAGTTAGAATTTGCTCCAGCTCCCCGTATCTCTGAACAGAATCAATGGTATACTGTACAGTGATCCCTCGCTCTAATGAGGTTCACTTTCCGCGACTTCGCAGTTTCACGGATTTTTTTAGTGCAGTTTTTTTTAATGCTTTTAAACAGTGAATTGCGTTCTGTGTCCTGATTGGCTAAGGCACTGACTGAAGTGAACAGTCTCCGCACCTCGTCTCTTTATAGCTTGCCAAATTTACCTTTGCAAATTTTTGGCCTTTGCTTTCATTGTATCAGTGGCGGATGCTGGTCTGTCAAGGAGGGGAAGCT